CTATTTAATTGATTTACCTGTTCTTGATTCAGCTTTGGTAAGTGGAATCAATCAAGAAAATTGTCCATTTCAGTTTAGATTTTGAAAAATTTTTGGCATATATGTTTTTGTAGTAAGACCTAATGATTGTTTGGATTTCCTTAGTGTCTGTTGTTATGTCCTCCTTTTCATTTCTGATTTTGATGATTTGGATACTTTCTCACTGCCTTTTAGTTAGCTTGGCTAAGGGTTTGTCTATCTTGTTGATTTTCTCAAAGAACCAGCTCTTGGTTTCATTGATTCTTTGAATTGTTTTATTTGCTTCTAATTTATTGAGTTTGATTATTTTTAACTGTCTACTCCTCTTTGGTGTGTCTGCTTCTTTTTTTTTCCTAGGGCTTTCAGGTGAGCCAGTAAGTTGGTTTAATGAGACGTTTCGAATTTCTTCTTGAAGGCACTTAGTGCTATGAACTTTCCTCTTAGCACTGCTTTTATTGTGTCCCATAAGTTTGGGTATGTTGTGCCTTCATTTTCATTGAATTCTAGGAAGTCTTTAATTTCTTTCTTTGTTTCCTCCCTTACCCAGCTTTCATTTAGTAGTGAGTTGTTCAATTTTCATGTGTGTTTAGTCTTTTTGCTATTTCTGTTGTTGGAGGTCCAGCTTTAGTCCATGGTGGTCAGATAGGATACAAGAGATTATTTCAATCTTCTTGTATCTGTTGAGGCTTGCTTTGTGAGAAGGAGAAGGTTCCATGAGGTTTTGAGAAGAAGGTAAATTCTTTTGTGATTGGGTTATAGACTATGTAGATCTCTGTTAGGTCCCTTTGATTCATGACTTCTGTTAGAGTCATTGTTTCTTTGTTTAATTTCTGTTTTGTTGACCTGTCCTTTGTTGAGAGTGGGGTTTTGTAGTCTCCCTCTATTAGTGTGGGGGAATCTATGTGTGGTTTCAGTTTTATTAATGTTTCTTTTACAAATGTGGGTGCCTTTTTATTTGGGGCATAGATGTTCAGCATTGTGGTGTCTTCTTGGCGGAATTTTCCTTTGATGAGTATGAAGTGTCCTTCTCCATCTCTTTTTTATTAATTTTGGTTGAAAGTCTATTTCATTAGATAAGAGAATGGTTATTCCTGCTTGCTTCTTAGGTCTATTTGCTTGGAAAACCATCTTCCAGCCCTTTACTCTCAGGTGATGTCTATCTTTGTGATTTAGATGAGTTTCTTGTATGCAACACATTGTTGGGTCTTGTTTACACATCCATTCTGTTAGTCTGTGTCTTTTGTTGGAGAAATGAATCCACTGATGTTGAAAGATATTAATGACCAGTGGCTGCTAGATCCTTTGATTTTTATGTTTATTATGGTAGTGTGTTTGCGTGCTTGGCTACTTTTAGTTTTGCAGTAGTGAGGTTATTTATTTCCTGTGTTTTCCTGAAAGTAGTTAGTTTTCCTGGGTTTTATTTTTTCCCTCTAGTAATTTTTAATGCTGCATTTGTGGGTACGTATTGTTTAAATTTGTTTTTGTCATAGAATATCTTGCTTTCTCTATCTATGATGACTGAGAGTTTTGCCAGGTATGGTAGCATGGGCTGACATCTGTTTTCTCTTAGTTTCTGCATGATATCCATCCAGGCCCTTCTGGCTTTCATAGTTTCTGTTCAGAAGTCAGGTTTTGTTACTCTCACAGCCTGTGCTGTTGGCGTTCTGTTCAGAAAGTTGTCTCCTGTGCCAATGAGTTCTAGGGTCTTCCCCACTTTTTCTTCTAACCAATTTAATGTGTCTGGTTTTATGTTGAGGTCTTTGATCCATTTGGACTTTAGTTTTGTGCAGGGTGATAAGTATGGATCTATTTGCATTTTTCTACATGTAGATATTCAGTTAGACCAGCACCATTTATTGAAGATGCTATCTTTTTTCCATTGTATGGTTTTGGTATCTTTGTCAAATTCAGGTGTCCACGAGTGTGTGGGTTTGTTTCTGGGTCTTCTGTTCGGTTCCATTGATCCACCATTCTGTTTCTATGCCAGTACCTGCTGCTCTATAGTACAGCCTGAGAACAAGGATGGAGATACCTCCAGAAGATCTTTTATTGTAGAGGATTGTTTTAGCGATTCTGGGTTTCTCTTATTCCATATGAAATTGAGAATTTTTCTTTCAAGGTCTGTAAAGAATCGTGTTGTTAATTTGATGGGAATTGGATTGAATCTGTAGATTGCTTTTGGTAAGATGGCCATTTTTACTATTTCAATCCTGCCAAGCCATGAGTATGGGAGATCTTTCCATCTTCTGATATCTTCTACTAATTTTTTCTTCAGAGACTGGAAATTTTTTCATACAGTCTTTGACTTGCTTGGTTAGGGTTACACCAAGGTACTTTATGTCATTTGTGGCTATTGTGAAGGGTGTTGTTTCCCTAATTTCTTTCTCAGCCCTTTTGTCTTTTGTATACAGGAGGGATACTGATTTTTTTTTTTGAGTTAATTTTGTATCCGGCGACTTTGCTGAAGGTGTTTATCAGCTGTAGGAGTTCCCTGGTAGAGTTTTTGGGGTCACTCACATATACTATCATATCATCTGCAAATAGTGATAATTTGACTTCTTCCTTTCCAATTTGTATCCCCTTGATCTCCTTCAACTGTCTTATTGCTCTAGCAAGGACTTCCAGAAGTATGTTGAAGAGATATGGAGAGAGTGGGCAGCCTTGCCTTGTCCCTGATTTCAGTGTGATTTCTTTGATTTTCTTTCTGTTTAATTTGGGAAAGAATCTTCACCAACCCTTTTTCTGACAGAAGGCTAATATCCAGTATATATAAAGAACAAAAGAAGGTGAAAAGCAGCAAACCAAGTAATCCAATTAAAAAATGGAGAACAGAGCTAAACAGAAAATTCTCTGTAGAGGAATATCGAATGGCAGAGAAACACTTCAAGAAATGCTCAACATCATTAGCCATCAGGCAAATGCAAATCAAAACGACCCTGAGATTTCACCTTACACCCATCAGAATGGCCAAGATGAAAAACTAGAGTGACAACACATGCTGGAGAGGCTGTGGAGAAAGGAGAACCCTCCTCCACTGCTGGTGGGAATGTAAACTTGTACAACCACTCTGGAAATCAATCTGGCATTTTCTCAGACCACTAGGAATAGCACTTCCTCAAGATCTAGCCATACCACTCCTAGGCATATATCCAAAAGAGGCTTAAGTACACAATAAGGACTTTTGCTCAACCATGTTTGTACCAGCTTTATTTGTAATAGCCAGAAGCTGGAAACAGCCCAGGTGCCCCTCAACTGAAGAATGGATGCAGAAATTGTGGTACATCTACACAATGGAATATTACTCAGCAATGAAAAATAAGGAAATCATGAAATTTGCAGGTAAATGGTGGGACCTGGAAAGGATCATCCTGAGTGAGCTGTCCCAGAAGCAGAAAGACACACACGGTATATACTCACTCATATAGACATGTAATATAGGATAAACCTACTGAAATCTGTCCATCTAAAGAAACTAATCAAGAGAAAGGACCCTGACTAAAATACTCAATCCCCATCCTGAAAGGCCAAGAGGAAGGACATCAGAAGAAGAAGAAAACAGGAAACAAGCTAGAAACCCACCACGGAGGGCCTCTGAAAGGCTCTGCCCTACAGACTATCAAAGCAGATGTTGAGACTTATGGGCAACTGTTGGGCAGTGTGCATAGAATCTTATGTAAGAAGTGGGAAATAGTAAGATCTGGAGAATACAGTAACTCTACAAGGGGAGCAACAGAACCAGTAATTTGAACACAGGGGTCTTCCCAGAGACTCATACTCCAACCAAGGACTATTTGTGGAGATAACCTAGAACCCCTGCACAGATGTAGCCCAGGGCAGTTTATTATCCAAGTGGGTTAAATAGTAATGGGAAGAGGGACTGCCTCTGACATAATCTGATTGGCCTGCTCTTTGATCACCTCCCTCTGAGGGGGGAGCAGCCTTACCAGGCCACAGAAGATGACAATGCAGCCACTTATGATGAGATCTGATAGACTAGGATCAGAAGGAAGGAGAGGAGGACTTCCCCTATTTGTGGACTTGGGTAGGGGCATGCGTGAAAAAGGGGGTGGGAGGGTGGGATCGGGAGGGGAAGAGCGAGGGGCTTATGGGGGGTACAAAGTGAATAAAGTGTAATTAATAAAATAAAGTAAAAAAAAGACTCAATTCCGCACAAGAATAGGAATTTTTGATAAAGCGTTTGTATAACAGTTTTGTGAATTGAATACACTTTTGCCACTAACTCCTCCCAGATCCTCCCCCGTTTCTCTATTGCTCAACTTCAGGTCCTCTTTTAAAAACAAACAAGAGCCTATGGAGTCCAATATATACTGCTCACACCCCCCAGGGTGTGTGGCCCTCCCCTGGAGTGTTGTTGATGAGCCAGGGGCCACACTTTAAAGAAAGTCGACTCACATTCTGGGAGACACATCAGCCCTCTGTCCACAGCTCTCAGCTAGAGATGGGGATAGAGAACTCCTTCCCCAATCACACTAAAATGTGGACTGGCTTGACTTATGCAGGTCATAGGCAGGCAGCCACAGCTGCGTGACTTCTTGATTGAACTCCCTTGATTGGTCCTATCCCTGTCATGTCTAGAAAATACACTTTTGCTATACTCCCCTCCAGCCTTGGGGCTGTACAATATCTTACCCTGTTCCTTTAGCCATTTTTCTTCAATGTTCTTTGCTTTGGGCTGAGAATAATGTTTAGGAATAAAATTTAATCTCTTGTCTTCAAAGAGATTAGGATAAGTATATTTTTGATTTTTTTTTTGTTTGTTGTTTACAATTGTCTTTAGATTTAGGGCATGTAGTGCCCTGATGTTTTCGATAATAGATAACAGTGTCACAGTATTATGAAATTTTCAATAAGCAGAGTGAATCTCACATGATTTAGTCTTGTTCTGCCATTTGTCTGTATCACCACATATTTTAACTGAGTCATATGCTATTTTTAAAACTCAAATTCTATTCACTTTCTAGCTACTCCAAGGCTGTGCTTGGTGGAGTGGAACAATCATTTTGAAATCTCTGACATCTAAAATCTGTGGCGTTTCAGACCATGTAAGTACATTCTGCTTACAACGTTAAAGTTTCTAACAACACACAAGTGTGTAAAAACTTGAAGCAGTCTATTCATATCTCTTCATTGTACATAGATGCCTATATGTCCAGGTCACAAGCACATAGTCTGCAGAGATGATCATAAAACCCTGAGATCAACAAGGGCTAGTGAATGCCTCTGGCAAATGTCTCAGTGAATGCTGGCTCAGTCTTCAAGATACAATACTAAGAATTTCTTTAGTAGTAACTTGTAATATTTCAGCTGAGGATAAAGATTTGCTTAATTATAATTTTTCCAATGTGGAAGATGTTAACACAAGGTCAGTGTGCACTTTCATTTGGAATATAGAACTTTAAATTGTTTCAATATAGTTTCAATAATTTAATATTAGAGGCTAAAATTATGTGTCAGTATTTTAAGGCTATTCTCATTGTGTAAAAACATTAACAGCTCTTTGTCTTTTAATTGTCTAGAAAATACAAGTGGATTCCTAATCTCTCATTTAGTATTTATTTGCCTAAAGCAAATATTTTAAAGAAAATGCCCTTTTAAGACCACACCCTAACTTGCTAACTAGTTTAATTTAAGGAAAGGAAAATCATGCATGGGTGCACATTTGTTTCTACCATTTCCTGTTAAGAAATAAGCATATATGAACAAAATAGAAGAAAATGTAGGATGACATTTTCCTTATCTAATCCTGTACAGTAGGGGCCTATCCAGCATGGAATCAAATTACCTTTGGCAGCTAGTTGTAGTATTCCTCCTTAAAAGGCCAGAAAGTAGGGATGGGCAATGAAATGCTGCACCCTCAGATAAAAGAATTTCTACATGTAAAGCCCTGTAAACATGGCCTCTTATATTATTTTTGTTTCTGTTTGCTGGGCTGTGCGGCTTTTTTTTTTTTAATGGTAACTTTTTATTTACTAAGGTATATATATATATATTAACTTGATTTAGACTTTCTACATTAGTTATTCATTTAGTTGGCTGGTAATTTTGTCACACTTTTTCATATTCTCTCTCAGCCACTGTAAATCTAAAAAGAAACGTACACATCACTATAAGATGAAATAAAAATACAGTCAAATAATTTTTATGATAAATTATCAGATTATAAATTCATAATTAGTGATGTGATGGCAGTCCTAAATGACGTTCTCTAAGTGATGCCCACTAGATGTGAAATTTTAGTAGTTTTATTTAATTATTATTATTTGCCAGAACTATCTTAAATTAAAAAGTGTTTAATAACTCCGGAAAAAAAAATCCTTGTATTAGTCAATAAGAGGACTATGAGTTAGCAGGAAACACTGATAGCCATCAAAGATGTTAAAATGATTTTCGCCTCTCTTGGAGAATATGGCTTAAAGTTCCACATGTCAAATAGCTCACAGTGGGAAAAATAATTGTCTCCTCAGTGGTAGAAAGCGGGGTTCTCGGCTGGTTTTCTCAAGTCAAAATAGTAGAGGTAATCATGATTCTTCTGAGGATGAGTTCTCATGTTTAATGGATGAATGGATGTCTGAAAATGTTAGGAAGTACCAACATACCCAGTATATGAGCCTTTGTGAAAACTGTAACACATAGAAAGGTTTATGATTTGTAGTGTATACTGAGAAATGAACTGAAAGTGAGTTTTCCCTACAAATTATAGGATTAAAGATGCCATGAACTTCACGGCAGTTTATTTCGGGCAAATGCTGCCTTCAGCCTCTCTATCTCTGCTGCTTTTTTCCCCCCTCTGACTTCATTCTACTTCTTATCATCTCTGTATTTTTAATAGCTCTTTGAGAATTTCAAATTTCACACATTGTATTTCGACCATTCACCTCTCTATCTCAACTCTTCCCAGATCCACTCCCCTTCCCTACCCACCAATTTTTTTGTCGTTTATTTTTAAACCTCTCAAGAACAGTTTATGCTGTCCAGTTATTCTTGGGTTTGTGGTCTTCCACTGGAACTTGGTCAGATTTCTAAGGGCTACTGTCTTAAAGATAACCACCTGTCTCCCAGCAACTAACAGTTTCTAATGACTCCATGGCTAGAGGTGGAATTGTGTAACCGACTCCCCTGTGCATGCGGGGATTTGGTCTGACTTGGACTTGCACGAGGTTTGTGCATGCTGTCGTAACTGCTGTGTCCATATGTGCAGTGTCGAGCTGTTTCTTGCAGCCATCACTACTTCTGGCTGTCAAACTTTGCATCACCTTCTCCATGACCCCTCAGCCTTTGGAGGACTGGGTACTCTGTCATCTCCTATGCTCTGCACCTTGGCCAATTGTGGATCTCTATGTTAATCTCTATTTGCTGTAGATAGAAGTATCTCAGTTGAGGGTTGAGAGATGTATGGATCTATAGGTGCAACCACAAGCCATAAGGAGATGGTTGGTTTAACACTAGTCCATTTAGCAGCCTAATAGCAGTAGGATCACCCCTAAGGTCTACGGCTTGTCCAGACACAAGTTCTTGGCATGAAAATGGTGCCAGGTACGGGTCACATCTTGTGAGGTATGGATTGTATCTAGTGGAGTGAGTCTCAAATCCAATTAGAAAGTGGTTGTTAGCCGGGCGCAGTGGTGTACAGCTGTGATCCCACCACTCAGGGAGGCAGAGGCAGGCCAATCTCTGAGTTTGAGGCCAGCCTGGAACTACAAAAAAAGTCCATGACATCCAAGGCTACACAGAGAAACCAGGATTTGAAAAACAAGAACAAAACAAGACAAAACAAAACAAAAAACCTAAAATTTTTAAGAAGGTGGTTGATATTTCACTGATGTTTATGCCACTGTCCTCTGTTGCTGTTTTAAAACCTTAACCAAAACTACTTGAAGGAGGAAAGAATTAACCTAGTTTACAGTTCTATGTCACAGTATATCATTGTGGAAAATTGGGGTAGAAGCTCAATATAGAAACTAGAGGAAATTTCATGATTTCCTCCTTTTTGATTGCTGAGTAGTATTCCATTGTGTAAAAATACCACAATTTCTGTGTCCATTCCTCTGTTGAGGGACATCTGCTTTCTCTTTTTTTTCTTTTTAAAAATTAATTTATTTTTTATTGATTACAGTTTATTCACTTTGTATCCTAGCTATAGCCCCCTCCCTCAGCCCCTCCCAATCCCACTTTCCCTCCCTCATCTCCTCCCATGCCCCTCCCCAAGTCCACTGGTAAAAGTTCTTCTCCCCTTCCTTATCAGACCTTAGTCTATCAGGTCTCATCAGGACTGGCTGCATTGTCTTCTTATACAAAGCAATTTCCTGCTGTTCTCACTACCCACAGGAAGTTGGATCTTTGCATAGCTATAATTGATTTTTAAAATGATCCATAGACATGCCCACAGAACTATCTGATGGAGCCAATTCCTTAACTGTGGTTCTTTCTTCCCAAAAGGTTCTAGTTTATGTCAACTGGACAAAGGTTAACCAGCATTCTTGCTATTCCTATTTCTTGATAAGTCATCCCTTAATGCACGCAATTCTGCACTTTGATTCCAAGACATGCTGATGGATTGCAGTCATCTACTCTGTAGATGACTGGTACATTTGGGCAAGGTCGTTTCTCTATTGCTGGCCATAGCATTTTTGTAATTTTCATTTATTTTGCTGTATTTTCTTCCAGATTCGCCTGAGTGACCTTATAGCAGCCAGAATCTTAAGGTACACAGATTTTGATACCTTAATATACACCTGTGCTCCTGAATTTGACTTCATGGAACAAGCGGTATGACTGTTTCTTGATTTTTCATTCTCTGCACACATACAATGATTGTGTTATGTGCTAGTTTTTGGTTTAGTTTGAAATTCAAAACAAAATTTGTGCTTGGAAAAATGAAACTTCCTGTATTTTCCTGTAGAGTCTGCTAACCATATGGTATTTATCACAGTTTTCACCTATAAAATCGATGCCTTGTGGCCTGTACCTAAAGAACTATAGATGATGGTTCAATATGTTATCTGAAATAACGTGGTTGATTGCAGGAATCACTCCTACTGCAAACAAGTTACTTTGCGGAATCTAGGCCACTGAGAGACCAGTTAGGAAAAGGAAATTCAAAATCCTTTTTTTTTTTTTTTTTTTTTTTTTTTAAAGAAAGTCACTTGTATTGCCTTATTACCCTAATAAGTTACTGCCTAGAAAGACAAACTATTAGTGGATCTTAGTGAACAAATATATCCTGGTTTAAGTTCTAGAGTGGCATGTCACTCACCTTTTGAAAAGGCTAAAGCTAATGGACTTTTTTAAAAAAAAAAAAGAATTATTTCTTTATTATGTACACAATGTTCTGTCTGCGTGTACACCTGCACGCCAGAAAAGGGCCCCAGATCTCATTGTGAGAGCCACCATGTGCTTGCTGGTAATTGAACTCATGACCTCTGAAAGAGCAGATAGTACTTTTAACCTCTGAGCCATCTCTGCAGCCTGCTAATGGATTTTAAATCATTTCCTTGCTGTAGGATCATGGACTAAGAGGATAGTAACCATGTAACATAATTCTTTCATTTTTGGTTGAGAAAAACTAGGCACATTGACCCTGAAGACTCCTGGAACCCTCAGTGCAGTGTTCTTCCTCAATGAGGCTTAGATTTTCTTCTTAGACTATAAAAATGTTGTTTCTGGATCTGTCCTTACCTAATGCCTATGAATTCTGAGTTAACCTAACAAATTTTTATTATTATTTTATCCATTATTCAGAGACTGTTATTGACAAAGAGCTATATATTAGGACGTTCATAGTAGGACTTCAGAGAAGAAAAAAGGTTTTTTTTTTTTAAATTAAAAATAGGTCAATATAATTAGTAACATGGCAAGTGAGTTCAGATGAGAGCTGGAGCCAAGAACTGTCTGTCCTGCGACATTTCTGAACTCTCTCCTTTCTCTGCAGTTACTTTGGTGAACTTCCTTCTTAGCTCAAGCAACAGAAATGAAAATAGAATTTTTCAGTAGAGAAAAAAAAAAAGACTGCAAACCTGGACTTATAAAAACACATGTAAAACCTAGTGTTATTCATATGTAGAAAACTATCACCTTAGAGACAGGAAAATGTAGACATAACCAAATCTAGGTTTATAGTTTTATGGCTAATTTTTTGCCTATTAATTTTAGTTAATATTTAAACTAGGATAAAAATAATTGATCTAATTATTTTAATTTTTATACATATAGGTCCTAAATTTTTTTTTCTTATTCTCCCCCACAGCTCTACTGCATGGTCCCTGGCTCACTGTTACTGGCCCCTTCCTCTAGAAAATTCTAAGCTCTTCCACTTTCATGCCACATGTATTCCACATGTATTCCATTAATTCTTCCCTTTCCCCTACAAAATATGTTCCTCCCCTATCATAGTCCCATTTCTTTTTTGTTATGTTTTTTTAATTTTTTTTTAAATCTTTTATTTTTTTTATTAATTACACTTTATTCATTTTGTATCCCCCCATGAGCCCCTCCCTCCTCCCCTGCCGATCCCACCCTCCCTCCCCTTTCTGCATGCACGCCACTCCCCAAGTCCACTGATAAGGGAGGTCCTCCTCTCCTTCTTTCTGATCTTAGTCTATCAGTTCTCATCAAAAGTGGCTGCATTGTCCTCTACTGTGGCCTGGTAAGGCTGCTCCCCCCTCAGGGGGAAGTGATCAATGAGCAGGCCAATCAGATTATGTCAGAGGCAGTCCCTCTTCCCATTACTATGGAACCCACTTGGACACTGAACTGCCATGGGCTACACCTGTGCAGGGGTTCCAGGTCATCTCCACAAATAGTCCTTGGTTGGAGTATGAGTCTCTGGGAAGTTCCCTGTGTTCAAATTATCTTCTGTTCCTCACTTTATTCATTTTGTATCCCTCCATAAGCCCCTCCCTCCTCCCCTCCCGATGCCACCCTCCCTCCTTTTTCTGCATGCATGCCCCTCCCCAAGTCCACTGATAAGGGAGGTTCTCCTCTCCTTTCTGATCTTAGTCTATCAGTTCTCATCAAAAGTGGCTGCATTGTCCTCTACTGTGGCCTGGTAAGGCTGCTTCCCCCTCAGAGGGAGGTGATCAAAGAGCAGGCCAATCAGATTATGTCAGAGGCAGTCCCTCTTCCCATTACTATGTAACCCACTTGGACACTGAACTGCCATGGGCTACATCTGTGCAGGGGTTCTAGATTATCTCCATGAATAGTCCTTGGTTGGAGTATGAGTCTCTGGGAAGTTCCCTGTGTTCAAATTTTCTTGTTCTGTTGCTCTCCTTGTGGAGACCCTGTCCTCTCCAGCTCTTCCTATTTCCCACTTCTTACATAAAATTCCATTCACTCTGCCCAACAGTTGGCCATCAGGCTCAGCATCTGCTTTGATAGTCTGCAGGGCAGAGGCTTTCAGAGGCCCTCTGTGGTAGGTTCCTTGTTTGTTTCCTGTTTTCTTCTTCTGGCTTTCAGAAACCCTCTGTAGAAGGTTACTAGGTTGTTTCCTGTTTTCTTCCTCTTCTGATGTCCATCCTCTTGGCCTTTCAGGATGGGGATTGACTGTTTTAGTTAGGGTCCTCTCTCTTGCTTAGTTTCGTTAGATGCACAGATTTTAGTGGGTTTGTCCTATGTTGTATGTGTATCTCAGTGAGTATATACTGTGTGTGTCTTTTTGCTTCTGGGACAACTCACTCAGGATGATCCTTTCCAGGTCCCACCATTTACCTGCAAATTTCATGATTTCCTTATTTTTCATTGCTGAGTAATATTCCATTGTGTAGATGTACCACAATTTCTGCATCCATTCTTCAGTTGAGGGGCATCTGGGCTGTTTCCAGCTTCTGGCTATTACAAATAAAGCTGCTACAAACATGGTTGAGCAAATGACCTTTTTGTGTACTTGAGCCTCTTTTGGATATATGCCTAGGTGTCCCGCCCCGCAGGACTCAGTTATTCGTGGGGGCGAAGGGGGTCAATCCTGAAAAAGATGGGGGAGAGAGAGAAAGGACACAAGCGGACGGTTGCCGGTCAAGTGTCAGCTTTATTGAACTTTGGTGTTTCTTTTAAAACGTGGTTCTGGCAGGGCGAGGGAGATGGGCGAGAGAGGGAAGTATTAGTGGAAAAATACCAAGGCCCTTGGTGGGAAGTTCCCAAGGCTAAGAAGGTGGGTTAAAGAGTTACAAGGCCCGAAGATAACATCGGTGGTCACGGATGTGTCCCAAAGCAAACGGTTTCAGGAACAATGGGTCTTAAGAAACTATGGCCTGCTGGCGTCCGGTGCTTATCCGGCAGGTCAGGCCCTTAGGAAGGGTCCCAGGGCTTTGTTCCCAACATCTCCTCCTTTTTTATCTCTTTAAAATGAGGGGACCTCCAAACTGGAGCAAACCTTATCGATACTGCCTTGCACTAAACCTGTTTTGTCAGTGTAAAAGCAGCATTCTTCCTTGAGCACAGCGCAGAGTCCACCTTCCTGGAGAAAAACCAAATCTAGACCGCGCCTGTTTTGTAAAACTACCTCAGATAAGGACACCATAGAATCTTTTAGGTCCTGTAAGCCTTTTTGCAAATCTTGTAGGTCTTTGTCCACTGCTAGGGAGAGTTGATTAAATTGTTGCTGGGAGGTAATTAGGGAGGCTATGCCTGTACCAGCTCCAGCGGCTCCAAGCCCTAGAATTACAGTTAGAGTAATGGCAGTTAAGGGCTCACATTTAACTTGAGATAGACTTACCCCTTTTTCCCAAAACCGAAGGAACTCATCCTTAGAATGTATAGTCAGCCTTGGGAAAAGCCGTACAAGGACGCAGTAATCTCTATGGACTAAAAAGGTGGAGCTTACAAGATTAGGAGTAAGACCAGTGGAGCAGGCAAAATAAGTGCCATTAGGTGCAGCAATATATGTAAAGCCACCTAGGAAACTGGCCCTTGTTAATTAAAGTGTTAATTAAAGCCTCACAGTACTTTTCCAGAGTACAGAAGAATGTAACCGCCCTGGACCCTGGTCCTCTGCTCGGGCAGAGATAAGGAAGTGAGCAAGCAAAGACCTCCACTCTGCAAAGAATGACCAGATCTATGCTTGAGAGATAACATCACCTAGCAATCAACCCAAATGGACTCAATTCTTCTCTTGAAGAGCCCCTGACCTTCTCTCAGGCTCGCTCCTCAGAGGAGACACAGGTTGAAGCTAATTGCTCTTCCATCTTTGTCTGTAGCCACATCCCCACTAGCAGGAAATTCTGAACGTGAATTAAAGATCAGATATTCCTCAGGTGTCTGGCCAGGACTGACCATACCTGAAAGTCAGCTACCTAATTCCTCATCCAATTATGAGTAGCCAGGACGGCAACCCCTGAACTTCCCTGTGCCTCATCTCCTAACAACCTGAGGCTTATGTCTCTGGGGGCCCACTCTTAAAATTTTGAAAACATATTTCCAACATAGCCAGGGCTATTATCTGTTTTACGTTGTGTTGGAAGTTTTAATATAGCAATTGCTGACAGCGTATGAGCAATAACATTTTTTCCAGCTTTACCAGTTTGGAGTGTGGAAAATATAAACCCACTACAAGTGTCAACAAAAACATGAACATATTTTAAATTACCAAATTTAGGAATATGTGTAACATCCACTTGCCAAATAACATTAGGTACAAGGCCACAGGGATTGACCCCAAGATGGGAAGTAGGCAAAAGGACAACACAAGAAGGACATTGTTTAAACAAGTCAGCTTTATAATTACCTTAGTTAAAGGTCCTGGAAGGTTAGAATGAGCTTGTAAATGTCCAATG